TGTTATGTAGCAGAGTGTGTATGAATGATAGCTGTGTTAGTTTGGAGTGTGTGAAAGAGAGATGAGGTTTATGCATATCAGGGTTGAGTATCTGTAGATGTTGAGAAGCGTTGAGTGGCATTTGTGTGCGTAACAGCCAAACCCACTTACAACATAATAGGAAAACAGTTGGATGAAGCAATAAGCAGGTTGTTCTGGAGAGTATTGTCAACATATGGGTCAAGATGGGATCCTTCAAAGCTCCCGGCTTCACTTTACCCCTTTTTGTCTTTTGTACTTAGATTCAACAGTCTGCGTGTGTGTGCCTGCATGTTGAACCAATTTGAAAACACTGCCATGTTTCACTTTTTTAAATCATCTCATCTGTATTAAATGTAACAAATGTACTCATTCTTCTTATTAAGGTCATCCAGTTCTCACATCTTTTATTTGTTCCACTCCTGTTCCATGGATGTCACAGAAATATTCACCCCTCCCTCCCTTCCTTCCCTACCCCCCATGGTGAGAGCTGAGTGTCCTATGGGTGTCACAGCTTAATCGGTCCCTGTGGAAAGTGTGTAGTCAGAGTCAGTGATAAAGGGCACCGCTGCCACGGCTGACTGATCTGCTGAACTCATCAATCAGTACAAAAGTCTCTCTGCCCAATCGGATGGCTTGGTACAAGTTTGCACACAGATTACATATTGTGAAGAGTGAAGACTTATCTCTGGGTTTGGTTCTTTTACTGTAAGCTGCAATAAAAAGAGCTGTTTCTGATTCAATTTGAGGGTTAAAAAAACGAACCATTTTATTGTAACACGACCACCTGTCGCTACCTAGAGTTAGCTGGCCCTCCTGTAACGTGAACTTGTTAAAGACCGTCAAGCTGTGACAGATTTAGATTGCTTCCATTACTTCACAAACTCTGAAGCTAACTATAAATTATTCAAAAGTGTGCGAGGAGTGTCTTCTTAAACTAAAGCCACTTTAGCTTGATATATTTTTTTATTTTCTTGACATATAGGATAAGATGCATACATGCCTAGCTTAAAGTGGACCTATCATGCTATATTTGAAATATATATTGTAGGGCCATACCTATACAAAACATGTCTGTGAAGTGTTTTTTTCAAATTACCTAACAGATCACCCATTGTAGCCATGCCTCATACTGCTCAAACCCCTCTTTTGCAGCCCTGTTAGAGAAACGCAGATCTTGGGTCCTTAGCTTGAAAAAGAAGAAGAGGAGGCGGAGCTAATGCCTGATCAGAATTATACCAGAGATAAAGTTAAATTCAGTTGTGATAAAACGCCATCTTGTTTAAACCACATCAAGGATTATTTCTGAAACAGTATGGAGCTCAAATGCTTTTTCTCTTTTCTCTTATCACAAGGTGAGTTCTTTTTTTATGCCCTGCTTTTTAAACACATGTGCTCTACAGTACAGGTTAGCTCTGAGTGTTAGCGAGGCTTGCTAATGTAAACAAAGACGAGATTACGTCCAAACCACGTGAGGCATTGTTTCTGATAGCAATTTTCTGTGGGTCCGCTGCCGATTTGACGTCAGATCNNNNATAGCAACTTTCTGTGGGTCCGCCGACGTCACAGTGGATGGAATCTGTATCCGCTCGTTGTACACCCGTTTTTGAAAGATTTGGGTACGGAGAAAAAGAGAAAGGGTTTTATTTTCTGACTGCTTGAGTTCCCCGACACACCGGTGACACATATTTATGTATAAAAGACATCACAAAGTACATTTTGCATGATAGGTCCCCTTTAAATGCTGGGCTTATACATCTATGTATTTGTAATTGTTTTGTAGGTGTGTTTCTTCTGATGAAAACAAAGTGGCCATCATGGCTGCGAACCAAGGAATTTTTCAGCAGTGCCAAAATTCCTTCACCGTACATTATAGTGAATGATATACCCTTCTTTGCCATAGCTGTAGTAAGTCGTGAATCTGAGTCTTTTCTGTTTAGATTGCTTGCAGTTTTGTTGATTTTAATATCATATGGCCGGATCATTGCACACGTATATGCGTAAATGCGTGCATGAGTGTGTGTGTTAATGAGAGGCATTGTATAGCACTTTGTCCTGCTTTGCATAAAAAGAGCAATGTTAGAAATCCATTTACTTTTTTCTATTTGCTGAAGAAAGCGTTCCTTGGAAAAAGCACATATTGGTGTAGAGCGGTGGTGCTGTCCGTGGTGCTGAACTTCACTCAACACATTGTATTTCCTCCAATATACAACCTTAATTTGTAATGCTAGGGTTTGGAGTTCATACCTAAATGGTCCTTGGATCTATGGCAGACTTTTACTTTGTCATTCATGTGAAGAAAGTTAAGATCTTAAAAGGCTAAAAGTGTCTTTCGGTACATTATTTATACATTTGAGGGTTTAGGAGTTTGAGTCCGTGGCTTTCTCGTGTTATATTCCCATCAAAAGCCTCCTCTATCCTCAGATACATTCCCTCAAAGTATCTGGCAGTAAAGAGGGAGACACAGAGATATGTTGCTTTGTCTAGTTGTCATTAACCAAGCCTTTCTTGATTACCATTTGAAATCAGCAGCTCCATGCTTCATTACGCCCCTCAGTCTGCGCCCAACCAAAGAGAGTTATCACCGCTGTCACATGCTACACTGTGTTTGCTTTATTCCTATGAAGGCACCAAATTCAGAGAACATTATGGTCTACAGTAGAAGTTAGTTTAAAGGTCCCCTATCATACTGTTTTTCCTCAATATATTCTAGGTCTCAGATATATACAAAACATGTCTCTGAAGTGTTTGGCTCCAAATACAGATCATTGCAGCATCCCATAATCCCCTCTGTTTCAGCCCCGTTTCAAAAGTGCTGATTCTCTGTCTGTTACTTTAGATGAAAATAAGGAGCCACACCCCACGCCCCTCTGAGAGATATTTGTTTCAAAAGAACACAATGGTGCTCTAGGAGGAGATTCAGGTGATAAGGTATGGGGGGGGGTTACCGTGGTTGCTGATTGGCTAATGGTTACACAAACCAAAAAAATCGTTATGACATCATAAATTGGCCAAAATCTGATCAGCTCATTTTCAGACAGGTTTTTATAGAAATGGATCAGGACAAAAAGAGAGAGAATCTTTTTTCCTGAAACTTTCAGAGTCTCTTTCCACAGAGGGGACACATGTTGATGTAGAAGAGATGTGAAAAAGTGGATTTTGCATAATAGGTGACCTTTAAGCTGACTGGATTCATCTCTACTTAGGAGTTTGTGTGACCTTTGGGAGTTTTCTTTTAAA